TGTTAGCATCAATGGAGCTGTTGCTGACTCTAACCCAGAATTAGATTCTATAAATATGTGTTATAGACATAATATATTGAAATTTACAATCATATTTTATTTGAGAATAATATTTTGATATTTTATGAAATTTACCTTGCATAAGAATTAATTCACTACCAACACTAGATACCAGTTGTTCTTCATTTTCATTGGCAACAAAGTCAGTAGAACTATCTGATTGTTGAACACTTTGTGCATCAATTGGATGCGTTAATTGAGAAACATAATTAACATTTGCTCTTTCAGTTGACTCAGTTGGGGATATTAAAGGAGAAGAAGAACCTTGTAATACAACAACAGAATTATGAAAAGGAGATGGTGGTAGCTGTACTGGAGTTGGTGAATATCTAGCAGCTGAACTCATATTAGGATCAAGAGGACTAACACGATGTTCAAAATCAGAAAGTGGAGAAGAAGCTCTAGGAGAAAAGGAAACTTGTTCATATGTTGGAAATAAACGAGAATATTCCCGTGATGGATCTTCCACATATTCCACCTAATAATGAAATAAGTTCAAACATCATACACTATAAATTATGCATGAAATTATAGCCTTATAAATTTACTTACAGTTAAAAATAATAATTTATTGTTATTCATTTTTTTTTGTTGTTCACACATTGATGAGGAAAGCGAATGATCAGTAGGCCAATTTACTGAAGTGTCAGATACTTTATCGATATTAGATATCTCAAACGAGTTAGCAGGGGCCCCCTCAGGAGGGCCCCTTGGATCCATTTTATTTCTCGTTGTGTACCAGGAATATTACAACATCTGCAACCTGCTAAAAACATGCTTTAAAACTACAAGAAGCTCTATTGTTAAAGGATAAGTAAAATTATAAATTCGATTTCTTTAACCGCATACATGAATGATTACACTTGTAGGATATTACGATCGTTAGAAGGATATGATAACATCCGCGATAAAGCAAAAGTAAGAATACAATCTTTGGATTTTTGAATTTCATTAAATAGAAGACTTACCATCTTTAATGTATAAGTTTTCGAAGTCGATGCACTTTTTGTCTTGTGATGCACCTGCTGCAGTTCACTGGTTCGTCAACAATCGACATTATCAGTTTCATAATGCTGATTGAGAACCACTGAAACGGCGGGAAATTTTCAAATAGACAAACAAAAATAACAATGTATAACTTTTCAAATAATATATTAAAAAAAATAATTTTAACAATGTCTCGTTCACAAATATATTAACAATTTATTTAATATTTAAAACTGAAATAAAATGTAATACTAAGATTTAAATTTTCTGTGATATATGTTAAACTATACCATTAAAACAATGTTACTTTTATATAAATATATTTATGAAACTTTAACAATTTAATTATTTTTATTTATTATATTGCACTGTGCTGATATATTGAGGTAATTTTGTAAAAGAAACATTAACATTAATTAATTCACTACTGATTTATTGATAACAAATATCTAACTAAAAATGATTTTATTGAATAACATTAAATAATATAAGGATATTGCATAAATCGTCCTTTCACAATATAGGATATAGATTTATTCTGTGAGCAATTTATGAATGGGGATGGATTGTATATACATCGTAAGTATATATAGGGGATATCTTCCACAACTTTCCTTAACAACGGAACAACAACGTATCAACAAGAGTTTAGAATGGCTTTTTGACATATTTTGCAAGAGATTTACGATTACGGTCGCTTATTATACTTATATATGATACATATATGATACATCATGGTGTACATAAGTGAAGTGACTAATTTAATGGATCGGATGATGAATGTAAATATTTTTTATCCATCGGAGAAACTACGGATGTTAAAAGACGAGGAAAAAACATTTGTCGATCCAAATTTAATAATGGATGCGAGACATCAGATATTCAGAGAAAATTTGTCTGCTTCGTCCACAAATGATTCGATTTTAACGGAAGCAAAAAAGTACGATATAATTTAAAATAATAAAAATAACAAAGTATGAAATTTTGTTTTAAAATATCACCTTGTAGATTATTGATGCAAGAAGAGGCGAAACAATTATATATGAAGAAACAGCAGCAATTTCTGGAAAGGGAATTAAAAAAATTTGAGATGGAATTAAGCAAATCTCGACCAAAATTTTCGAAATATAAGATATGTAAGAGAAGTAACTTTGCATCCTCGGATGATGAAGATTTTTGGAAAACAAGCCGGAAACTAAGAAATAAGGTCGGTATGAATTTCCACTAATCGTAAAATATATTAATTTTTATAATCGGAAATATAAAAAAATCTTTTTTAGATAACCAAACAGAAAACAGATGTAATCAGTAGTAGTCATGATGGGAGTATAGATCCTAGTTGCAAGAAACATACAATGACAGAAACTGACGATTCTTTGTTAAAAATAGAAGATGAGAAAAATCAGCAAAAAGCGGAATGCGAAATATCATGTATTGGTGGCATAAAAGTAACGATTACGGATAAATCTAATTTTGAGGCGGAAACGCAAGATTTATGCCTTTTAAAAAAATATTTCGATATTTTAAAACAAAATGCTAATGAAGAACGATGTCTTCGCGACATTGAAACAAGAATTCACCGAAATATGATATCAAAAATAACAAGAAAGTACTTCGATATTTGGAGAACACGTACGAAAGAAGCCAAAGATACTGTCCAGAAACAAAAAGAAAAACAAGAAATTTGCGAAGAAGAGAAAATCAAAATATTTATAAATACAATTATAGAACGTCAGAAAAAGCTAACGAAATACCAAAAACCAAGAATTCGAGATGATAGTACAATCATAAAAGAATCGAAAAATTCGAATATTACGAAGAAAAACACTTATTGTAAACATATTATCAGCGAATCGCCAGCACAATGTCGGTTAAATGCTCAGAAACAAATAATAGAAAAGCAAAAAGCCAAATTAGCTGAACAAAGCAAGATAATCGAAGAATTAAAACTGAAACAGATGCAAGAGGAAATATCTAGGGCGAATAAGGAGACAATGGATATAGCCAAAAATACTCTTACTAATTGCGGGAAAAATACAAGAAGAACATTGATTCAATTAATGCAACAAAATGGCTACAGGTAATACCATTTCCTAGGGCAATGCAGAATTTACATTGATAAAGAGATTTATAATAGATTGTATACATGTTCTCGAAAGAGACGAAAGTTTAACAATACCTCGACAACCGCCGGATCCACCAAAATTTCTATTAAGAATGGAAGCGCGAGTAGAAGCTAGACGAAAAAGAATAAAATTGGCTGAAGAGATGCGTAGACAGAAACTTGAGGAACAAAAACGAAAGGAAGAAGCTGGTAGAATAGAAGAGGAACAGAAAAAGAGAAGATTACAGCAAGAGGTCAGATTATAGTAGAGGTCAAAGTATATTAATGTCATACTAAGAGCCATAAGCTTCAATTTCACCTCGCAAACTTTGTTATTTCTTCAATAACACAATTTTTTATCTAATTATACTCGATGCAAACTTCTTTCAAATGATGGCGTGGTGAATTTTTTTTTGTTCAATAGGCTTTAGCCGAGGCAAGAAGGGTACGAAAAGAGCAAGAGTACAATCGGCAGCGTGAACTAGAAAAATTAGAAAAATTAAACAATATAGCAAATCAATTTTATCGAAAATATCTTTTACGAAATTACATAATGAAACCTTTCGTAATACTTATTAAAAATCTACGGAGTAATATTAAAAAAGCAGAGGATCATTATAGGGAAAAATTGACAAAGAGAATTTTTGTAGCATGGAAAAAGGAAGTGGAAAGTCAATGTAAAATAAAAACGGACATTGCCGATTCATTTTATAGCACGAATTTAATGTCTAGAGCGTTTAAGGAATGGAGGCAGGTAGCTAAAGAAGAAAATTTAAAATACCAAGTTGCAATAGATTTTTATGACATGAAGCTTTTAGATAAGTTTTTTAGGCTTTGGCAAGTAACAACTTTTGAACTTAAAATAGAAAATGAAAAAAGAGAGAAGTTAGTTACTAAGATTTATGAAAATAAATTAAAAATCAGATATTTTAGTATATGGAAGAAATATGTCGCGAATGCTACAGACATTAAAGAAAGCGAAAAGAAAAGAGATGAATTGCGGCAATTAGTGCAAAAGGTGATTCCTGATTTTAATCCCAAACAGAGAGGTGTAGCACTGGAAGATTAAAGTTAAGTTATGACATTAAAATTAAAATACAAAGATTACATCATAATGGTACGTTTAAGTTTATATAACACAACGATTGTTATTCACTTTACATTATCTTGCAGTTAGAAAAAATGTAAACATTTAGCATACTTAATTTATGTTTCAATCTTACATGTACTATACATAATGGATTAATATAATTTATTGCATTAGTTAATACAATGGCCTCTTTATCACAGTTATAATAAATATACAAATAATGTGCGTAATAATAGAATAAAAGTATAATTAATGTCTGGAAAAGGACAAGGATGAGTATTAAAGTACATTAAGGTGCATTGAAATTAATATCAAAGGGTATCTTCTGCTTTCACATACCGCTATGCCTGATGTTTTGGCCTCTTTGTTTCAATTGTTCTAGTATCCTTTGTATAGCACAAAGTGTCATCTTTCATAAAAAGTAAGTTTAATAATCTAAGCTACATTTAATATCTAAGTTTTGCAGCAAAATAATCGGAATACATTTTTTAACATTCCATGGTCATATGGGCTTCCAGCTTCAAGGAGACGCCGTTCGTTTGATGTGGTACCAAGGTAAATCAACCAAAGATGATATATTAAATAAAAAACTACTACTAGCCCAACAAGCAAACTGTAGAGTGCCGAGATGAAGCAAAGGGCAAGGCTGGAACAATATTTACATTATTATACTTCGATTGGGTACCCAAAGCAAACAGTTGCGCGACATGTTATCTATTCAACTTTTATATTCTCAGAAAGCAAATAAGAGATACTATAATATTTATGACATTAATACAAGTCTCGACAATTATCAGTATCTTGTGATTATTAAAGTTTGCATTGTAGATCCTCGGTATCTTTCCAGTTTAGTTTTCAGTCTTAATAATGGAAAGTGTTATATTTCCCCTGAGTGTAATTTTATACCCCTGATATCATTAATTTCAAGATTATATATTCCCTATTAACTGGCATTAATATAAAGTGTTATCTAAGCAATACATACTCTAATTGATGATATACATCGCTGCAATCATCTGGCATAAGAATAGTACCAATGAGTATAAATGGATGGCATACGCTAGTCATGGTTAAATTGGAACCATAAATAAAAGCTATAGCTGAGAAGAATAAACATCCCAAGTACCATTTTAAATTGCTTGAACCTATACAACAGTCCAACCTAAAATATAAAACATATACCTAAAATATACCTACATTATTAAATACGATATACTTTATCTTTCATACAAGAATAGCTATACCATTTACAGTGATATTCTCTATTCAGGATACATGTCTGACACATTTGACAATGATGCGCTTTAGGAGGTGCTCTTCTCTTACATGTAATACAAAGTTCTCCACTTCCTTCACCAAGCTCTAAGCCTTGGGCTGAAGTACCTTCTTGAGCTACAGAATCTGCATTTACTTTAGTCACATAGCCACACGATGTACCGCCCACAACACATATTATAAACACTAGATTCTCTTCTGGTAAGATCTCTAATAATGGTACAACACTTATTTCAAAGATCAGCATCAACATGATTACACTTGTACATGTCCACATGAAAAAAAATTTTGTGCGAAGTAGAAATCTCAGAAAATTATGATGTAAGTAATACACCAATATTGGTGTTGCAACAAATATAATTATAGTACATTGCACTGTTTGTGCGGCTATTAGTGCCAATATTGGAACCGCAAATATCGGTATCATTGCATCGACTGAAATTTGCTTTGCACCAGCTCTCCAACCACAAGAATTTCGTAGTCTCTCCAACATAGTCAAGTTTTACTAATAATTATATACCCAAGTAATACGTTTACACTTGCATGAAGAATTAATGGAAGAATATCAAAATGGAGGTTAGAATCGTATCATGGAATACTGTTTTTCAATTAACACAAAATTTCAATCTAACAATTGTTGAAAATATCGCGCGTAAGCGTAGGTGGCAGCACCTTTTAAAGTAATAGATACAATTAAATTAGTAGTTACAAAAATATTGAACTTCTTAAGTCCTTACTCAAAAGAGAGTTCCTTCTTCAACAAAGGACTATTGTTTCAGTACAAATCAATAGTGCTCGTTTGACCATATTTCTGTGTTTAAATAAATCATTAATTCTATTTAGACACAAAATTAATTAATAAAGTAAAATAATTTCAAATTCTGTACTTTTTTTCGTATTATACATCCTTAGTCATGAAAAAAAATGTTATGAGACAAAGTACTTCTGACAGTATTTTAAAAATGGCGCAAAAATCACACGAGGACAAGATTAACAGTGTTGATTTCCAGTGTCCAATAGCGGGTGCACATAGTTTGTATATGAAAGAACAATGGTGTCAGTATTGTAATTTAATAACTCAAAACAGTGACTAATCGTTAAAAAATTCTTTTACGGAATTCCATTTACTCAACGTAATTCAGGTAACAGATACTTTGTAAATTTTTAGAACAACCGTTGATACTTTTCTCAAAGGCATTGCCATCTTGTTCTACGTGATCATTCTCTTGTGACATTTACTGTAATCTCCTTGCGCATGAAATTGCAAACGTGAAACGCATGACGGGAATATGACAAAATTGAAAATAGTCAATTTCAGTGGGAAAAAATTTTTAGAATTTTTGAACACCGTGTATTATTGAAATTATACAAAGAACATTGAAGGTTAATTTTTATTTTACAAGGAAGCTGCAAAGACTTCGAGTCACCGATTTGGTTCAAATTTTGTAGGATGGTAGATTTAATTTCCCTGATGGTGAAGGTATATGATTATAGCTACTTCTACTCAATAATTTTTAAGATATTTGTAATTGAAGATTTATTGTGCTTTAAGTCAATTCTGTTTAGAGAGGTTACCATGCAATGGTTTGGTGTGCTGTCAACGAATTAGTATTGCTACGCGATAGGGCCCGGGTTCAACTACGGGGAGGACGAAAATAAACATTTTTCATTCATTTCTTTTTTATTTTGTATGATCTTTTGATGATTTTTAATATATTTATTACTTATATTTTATATTACTATACATACTTTTATATTATTTATTATTTCTATTTTATATTACTATACATATTTTTATATTATTTATTATT